CCGATGCCAGTGTAACTGACAAAGGCACTGGTCTGTACAAGCCAGGTTTTGATTAGTAATCAATTGAGGTAAAGGTTAGCCACATGTAAGGGTAGGACTAAATTACATGTGAAGGTGTGTAATCATGTGGTTTTCATGGAAACTAATGGAAGACTCATAAAGGACAAGACAAAGGACTCTCCAATTAAGAAAAGAATAGACAAAATATATGGTTATAAACAGAACACTGTCCCTCTAGTTAAGAAAATTTTGCTGGGTGTGGCAGCACACGCCTGTAATCCCAGCACTCGGGAGGCTGAGGCAGGAGAATCGCTGTGAGTTCGAGAACAGCCTGGGCAACGTAGTGAGTTCCAGGTCAGTCTCAACTACATAGTAAGACCCTATCTCAAAAAACCAAAAAAAAAAAGATTTTTAAATTGTGGGAATGGAATTTGGGTGTGAATTATTTTGACCTTGGCATACAGACTTTTGCTGGGACTCACTTTTATAAGCCAATGGTGGGTTAACTCTTAAAGCCTGTGCTGTTTACAGCCTGATTGGGGAATAGTCAATTCTGCAGTCTACTGCAAAAGTCTTCTTCAAAAACCCTTAAACTATGTTTTAACCAGAACTTTAGGGTTGGTTAATATTTAGATGCATAAATATTTTGAGACAGAATATTCAAGGTCCACTGGGTTCTTCCATCCTACAATGAAATACACACAGAAGTTAACTGTTGCCCTGAGTCCTATGATTTCATGCCAGAAATGAGAACAAAAGAACTGTAGGGTAGATTGTAAGAATGTCCCTTTGGCCACGTCAGGTAAAAGAAGGTTAGTCTGGAACACAGATTTGACTAGCGCAAGACCTAAAAGAGCTCTAGTAGAACTATACAAGCATACCTATGAATTCAGACCTTAACTTGAGATAGAGTCAGAATTCAACAGAATTATCACAGAAACAGTTCCTGTCTCCAGACCTGAAGAGCTTGTTGCAGGCAAAGAAAGAAACTGCAGCATATGTGCGCTAGAAGAAGTGCTGTGGGTGAAATGAGTTCTATTCATCGCTTCCTGTGTGTGACACTGTTCACTGTTCGTGCTTCATCCCACGTAGCTGGCAACTCACCACAGTTCAGGCTAAGCACACCGCCACTCAACAACTTTCCTGAGTCTCTTCAAAATCCTGTGTTCCTCAGTGTGTTCTTTATGCAGCTAGAACAAACCTCGGTACAATCAGATATCTGGCCATGAAGTCACACTTAACTTCACTGCTACAAACACCTGGCAAATTTTGCACAGTATTTATGTATGTAGATGGAGGTATTATGAACCAATAACACTTGTAAGTATAGTCAAATGAGTTCATGAAAATTACCTGCAAGATTATGTATATGTTTACGAAAGCACCATATCCAAAACCAATAAATTATCCCTGAAAATGCTGACCATGTAATATTACACAAATTCCATCTGAATATATTAAAATAATTTGGCCCTCATATCACATTTTCTTGTCTTTTAAGCTCCTGAGTGTTCTCAGAAAACTGGCTTCCTTTATTTCGCAGGACTTCCTACGCCAGCCCATGAAGACATGGCTTTTTGGACACACCACTCTTGGTGAGTGCACCATACATTTCAGTCTCCCTAAGCAATAGAAATAATGGACACAGACTGACAATAAGGACATAGGATAAATTAAGGAACTAAAATGGGGAGCAGACAGCCCACATGTGTGCCTTTTGTCCCATTTTAGCTGTGTGACATGAGAATGCATTAAATTTCTCTATCAGTTGATTCACCAAGAACTACTATGTCAAATACAAGTGGAGCTCATGAGGTCATTATGAAGATAAAAAGTATCTAGTGCACAATATGTGCCGCACATAGAAACTGCATATTTTCTAAGTGTATGATAATAGACTATAGACACAGGTTTAAAACTTTAAAAAGCGCTTGCAGGAGGAACAATTCCAGTGTAGAAAGGCAGACGATGATCCAAGTTTAAAGCAGTTCCCATCATCAGCATAAATTAAAACTAGAAATGGGAATGTTTTCCCCTAAACCTTGCACATGCTTGGTATCTTGTACTCTACCTACTCAGCCCTGTGTCTGTTTATTGATAATTTACATCCTATCCCCTTGTCCTAGTGTGATTCAAACAGTGTGACCAGAGTGGGGCACCTCCTTATAATTAAAAATATCAACTCCAAACAAAGAAAAAAAACCCAAAAAACTCCAGAACATTTTTCCCTTTTCCAAAGAGTATTATACTGTTCTCCTAATTCAGGAAAATCTGCTCAGGAAAAACTAATTAATACAACATTCAAAACAAGACACAATCTGGTTAATGTCATGTTCTACAGAGGACTGTATGAAGAGTTGAAGGAATGAGACTACAGATGCTACCTGAGTTTGAAAGAGAAAATATCTTCATCATCTCAAAGGTAATTGAAGATAAAATGTATGGACTGAAAAACCACAGAATATACCTGATTAAGCAAACACCATGGCCAAGCTTTGGTTCCTTTAAACCTGCTCAACATATATACCTTGATCTGTATTTGGGGAAATTTATGGAACACAAAGCCAGATTCATAACAATACACTAGCTATCTCATGTACGTTCCTGAAGACATACATCGTTCACATGTGGTGTCCTCTTTGTGACAGAAACAGTGACTCATTACTGCTACCCACTATCATGAGGAAGCACTGGTGTGAAAAATGAGTAGGTTTCAAAATTAAAAAGTAAGATTTGTACTATATGACTTCTCTTTTTCTCTCCATGACTAGAGACATAATTCAGGGCCTCATACACATTAGACAAGTTAGTTTAATGTTCACATGTGGTGTCCTCTTTCTGACAGAAAGAATGACTCATTTACTGCTACCCACTATCATGAGGAAGCACTGGTGTGAAAAATGAGTAAGTTTCAAAATTAAAAAGTAAGATTTGTACTATATGACTTTTCTTTTTCTCTCCATGACTAGAGACATAATTCAGGGCCTCATACACATTAGACAAGTTAGTTTATAGTTGAGGCCTATGCCAAAATAATTATTTCATACTGAAAGTCTTGCTCAGTTATCTAGGGTGGGCTTGGTGATTTAATACTTCATGTGGCTGGCATTAAAGGTGTGCCTCAGTGATTATTACTTTACCCAAGCACTGAAATCTTGGTAAATTGTGGTGATTTAAGAACCCCAATCTTAAACTAGCAAGGTGGCACATATCTGTGTTCCCAAGAGTAAAGGAACTGTAGACTATCAAAATTTCTCACAAGCTTGGCAACTTAGAAAGATCTGGTCTCAAAAATTAAAAAAAAAAAAAAATGGGGGGATGTAGCTCAGGGCAAAATTCCCCTGAGTTCAGTCTCTATACAATGAAAAAGATCAAACACACACTGAAATGTTTTGTACTGAAGAGAAATACTTCCCACTCTACTACATCAGTAATGAGCTCCACAAGACCAGCATCCTAGTTTCTAATTTTGCCTCAAAAATGATTAGATGAGCTGATCAGTAGCCACAGAAGAAATACTGATCTGTTACTAAGTTCTCCTCCTTTTCTTTGGGACTATGACCTCTGACTTAATCTCAAAACAAGCCAGCAGACAATCCTTCATTTATTATCACACTAAGTACACTCTGACTTCTGGAGAAGTTTACTGTTCTAGTTGCTGATGTTTGCCTCCCTCCAAAATTCCCTGTGATCCTTTTCCTTTTTACTCCCCTTTGCTCTTGCCTAGTCAAAAAAATCCTTTTATTCTATTCATTCATATGCCCACAGACCTTAACTTTAGGAACTGATCCCTACCTAAGTACTTGTTTTATACAAAGTCCATCTCAATCTGTATTTCAATTTTTAAATCAATGTCTAGAAACAGTCCAGAGATTACAGCGATTCTCTTTCCAATCATACCAGTGTCACTTGTACACATCCCTGGAGATGCCCCAGTTGGCATTTCTCAGTGCGTGTTTAACAGGCAGCTCCTTCAAGAAGTTGTCCTTAGCAGGAACACTGTCCCCTTCCTCAGGAACACATCAACATCCCTTCCATCGTTCTCAGCATTCTAAACTCTACAGAAACCCTCACTTAAATAGTCTAATTGTGAAGAATAATTTATTTAGTTACCTTATAACTAAAGCACCTAGCTAGGAAGGGCCTGACACAGACTAGGGAAATTATACATCTTGATAAGAATTAAAATGAGAATAGTCAATTACCTAGGACTTTGAACCAAGAGTGAACTTTCTGCACGACAGGGAACACAGCCACCTCCCTATTAAAAGGAGTTGCAGCCACTCCCTACTAAGCTTCTGAGTTTCCGGGAACTTAAAATACAAAATATCCAGTGTTTCTCGAAAATCCCAGTTTCGTTTTAGCACTCTGCTGAGGAAATGCGTTAGAGAGCCCGAGTTCCAAGTGGCAGTTTTAAACCCATCTATGATAGGTGCCCACTAAACAACTGGGCGTTTACTGTGCTCTACTTATCTATAATTAGCTCTGGATTGAGCCTCCACTCACGGGGGACACTTCTGGAAATCAGGGCGCTATTCTTACTGTTTCCAATAAAATCTCTAACATCCTTCTTTTGGCTTGCAACCTCATTCCTTAATGTGAGGCCAAGAGCTCTGTTCATGCAGTAACGCCATCGCGAGCAGAGGTCTCACATAAAAATTAAAGTATGATTTTTTTTCATTGCTAAGTATGGCACCCAGTGTTTCCCTAAAGCTCCCGTTCTCTCCAGACAGGGGGAGATACAGCTATCCCTTAGTGTCGACAAGAAAGTATTCTGGGGCAGCATGTCACAGTACCTTGTCTGTATGATGGGGACCTAGACCTGTCCCTGTCTAAGCAAAGGGGAAAAGGGAAAGATGATGATACAGCACCAAAGACTAGGAAGACGTCGGTGTCTAGAGCTATGCAGAGGCTGTTTACTGCTACAGCTGGTTATGACTACTTCCGTAGAGAACGCACCGTATTCCGTCCCATCCCCAGCTCCCATCCCACAACGTCACCATTGCGTGGCTCGAGGGTCTCCCGGATCCTTCAGATGCAGCTGGCAGCTAGTAGAAGTTATTAATAAAAAAGGTGGTCTACTCAGCTGCCGGATCTCAGCAACGTACGCAAGGAACGCACTTCGTCGCCATGACACAGGAAGAGCCCGCCTCCCTCAGCCCACCTGATTGGGTAGTTCAGACAGCCCGCTTTTTCGTCGCTGATTGGCTCCTGCTGCATTGTGGGCCAGCTGAGTTAAGTTGAGAGGGACAAGAGAAACATTTACCGGCATTGCTGTAGCTCAAATGATAGCTTGTAACTCAGGAAATTCTGGACCGGTCTCTTTCCCACGATGTCATTCTCTCCTCTCAATGGTATGCTTGCATTTAAGGACTTTACTCCTGGCTTTTCACAGCTTCCTCCGTTTTCTTAATGGACTCAGTGGATTCTTGCTGAAAGCGGATCACAAATGTGCTCAGAAGGTTCCAGGGTCAGTGTCCTATGGAAGAATCAATCCATTGATGTCAGAAAACATCATGAGCCCAGGCCAGCCCAGGACCAAAGGGAATAGAGGAAGGGCCTGCTGTTGGGAATTTTCACGCTGTCTCTCAATCTAATCATTTCAAACGCATGGCCCCTAAGAGGAATACAATTAATGTGTAAATGAAGAAATTAGAGTTGCATAATAGAGATAACTTTGTGCATTTGGACAGTGACGTTTTGCTTTGTCTCAGTTTTCATATTGTGAGATATTCAGGATATGAACACATCAAGGCGAGTGTATACAGATCATGTAGCCTATCTTTGTTGAATGAAACAATTTTCCCTGTATTGTCCATTCCTATCACATCTGATACAGCACTCAAGTATTTATTCTACAATGCTCACTGCACTTAGACCACAGAATGCTTTCAGAGGTGATATAGATGAGACGGATCCTTTCCTTATATATATTTTTTGTTTGTTTGTTTGTTTTTTGGTACCACAGATTGAACTCGGGTCCTTGCGCTTGCGAGGCAGGCAGCAGAACCACTGAGCTAAATCCCCGGCCCTTTCCTCATATTTTAATATTTGATCCAAAAGCAGATGAACATAGACCAAGGCACCTCATAATAGGGGTCATGATAAAACCACAAGTAGATTGTGGACAAGATAATATCAATTAGTGAAGCATTTCTTATGAGAAACAAGTGGAGGCAGAGAGAAAAATCGGACCTCAGAGGAGAGATCAAAGAGTCATGGACATAAGCCAGAAAAAAGACCAAATAGAGGCAGAAGATTTTAGAACTGCAGACAAATGCTTCTGAAAAGAGTACTGAGAGACACGTTAAGGGTTACAGAATTGACTCCAGCTCTCCCCCAGTATGCGCCACATGTCCTAAGCAATGATGCCACAATAAACGAAGCTCATACTGCATTCTATTCACTTACCAGGAAAGGGTGCTTCAGAATATTTCAATCTCTGCGAAATCATTTACTAAACAAGATTAATGAATTGATCACTGATTCCAAGGGCACCCTCAGTCTTTCAACCAGTTTATCGTTGTTATAAACATTGATTCTGTGACTGATGTAGTGAGAACATTTTATTTTAAGTGAATAAAAATGATGCATAGCGAAAAATTGAATCCGGATCAGATCACCACCTGGACTGGAACTGAGGTCTCTGTGTTTAGGGCATGGAGGCTCAAGAGTCAGTGTAGACATCCGTGCACTGCAGATTTCTCCCTGGCTCTGTCATAGATATCAAATCAATAACCCAGTATGATATTCATTATGCCCTCTAAAGTTTATATTTTGAGAACAGAACATGTAATGGGACGGTGTTGAAATATGGGGCCACTAATAGTTGATGGTCACATGAGTGTTTTCCTCTCCTGAATGGAATGATGTTATTAATGTGAAAATGGGGTATTTATGACTGCGGTGAGCATCTTTTAAAACATACTCACTTGTACTTTCTATTCCACACAAGGTTACCTGGCATTCAACAATATATCACATAGAAAAGTATTTCACCACCTTTTGTTCTTTGCTCTTAGCCTTTCCAGACTCGATATTGTAAAGAGTAAATTTCCATTCTTTATCAATTACCTTACGTGTGACATCCTGACATAGGACAGAATAGGAGACCGAAACACTCATATTCTTGATTGGAATAAGAAAACAATTATTCCCATTCAATAAGTCTGAGAAAGCAACTGTGCTGCGAGTGGAACTATGGCAGCAGGTTGAGGCTGAGTGCACAGAAATCCTTTGGAGAGGAATAATATACTAGAGAATTAAATGTTCCAGGCGGAGTACACAGTCCGGAGGACAGAGACTGAATACCCCATATCCCTGAATATCAGTCTATCCCCAGCTATGTGAACTTGGGACGTTATTAAATGTATCATTTTTCTAGGTGGTCAACCTCCCTGCAATATAACAACTCTTGTGGGTCCAATATAATATGATGATGTTCAGTTTTCATATTTTTTAAAAAAAATTGGTTCCTTACAAGATCAGAGTAGGAACTATATGTAACTTAAGAAGTCAACCCTATCCTATTACTAGAGTCAAGGCTCTGATCCAACAAAGTTAAAAATATACTGGAGACCCCTGCATTAGGTTCCAATATCCTGCCCAGTGTACAGTGCAGAACTAAATAAAGACTTAAGATAGAATTAAAGAGAAAATATGTGGGGAGCAAAGACAGCCAGTGCTGAACAACCAGCAGAGGCTCAGGTTGGGTCAAGACATTGATTTTCATTGATAATCAAATTGGGGTAAAGGCAAACTACATACAAGAATGTGCAGCTGTGCAGTTGCTATGGGTACTAATTCAGGAAAGGCTTGTAAAGGAAAGACAAGGCAGTCTAGAGTTAGGAACAGAATAGACAAAATACAGAGTTGAATTAGAACCTCATCCTTCTAGTTAAGAAGGTTTTAGTTGTGGTGATGGAATTTGGTTGTGAGTTACTCCAACCTTGGCTACTGTATGATCTCATATGAGGTGCTTCTATGAGTCACTTAAGGTTCAGTTGGACTCACTTCTTAAAATGAGCCAGTTGGGGGGTTAACTCCTCTTTATAGCAGGCTACTGCTTACAGCCTGCTTTGGGCATAATCAATAAGGTGGTCCCCCACAAAATTACATACCAATATTCATCTCTAAAACTGAAAAAAAAAACAGATGCATATAAGAAATTATCAGTGATTTCCCAGGAGGCAGAAATTAAAAGGATGACAGAGAAACACTGGCTACATTCCAGGTGATGCTGTGCTCTGGCTGTTTTGCCCAACCCGGCTGAATGGGGAAAATGCACAAGAGACATCACACCAGGGGCAGAAACTCTCAGTCCTCAAACATAAGAAAAGTCAGTGATTGTGCTGGTCTTAGGTGAGGAGCAGAGGTGGATGAAGAGATGGAGGATTTCTCCACTTCAAAGATGAGCTGGATCGTGAAGTCCACGGTCACTTCAGAGGGGCAGTGATTTCAGCGTGAGGTCATCAGCACAGCTTGGCCTTCAGGAACCATGAATGGGAAGGAGTCAGGAGTGGGAGTCATTTGCTTCTGGCCAGTGTATACCTGATTCACAGGAAACTGATACCAGGAGAAGGACACGATTTAGTTTGCAGAAGTCATATCATATTTTATGGAAAATCCTACAGAGACAAGTGACCAATAATTATAGAAGTAATGAAATACAATAAATAAATTGAGAGCTCTGGCAAAGAAACATGAATTTTGTGAAACTGTGAGTATTCAAATTTAAATATATTTTTCTTAAATGAAATGAATATGTGTATGGAAATGGGGGGGCTGTGCATGATCGAAATAAATCTAATTGTTAAGTTCCTTGGTGGAAGTGTAGACCCTAGTCCTTCTTGGCTACCAGAGACAGGAAGAGCACGCCAAGAGCCCCTGGATACTGCCCTGAGTCCAGCCCAGCTGCCCCTCTTCCCTTCTCCCCTGAGTACAAGGCTCCACATGGTGCTGGAACTGAGCCTAGGGACCAGGACTCCTGAGATGACCAGCAGAGGAGTGGTCTGTATTATCTCAGACTGTGTGGAGAGGGATATGAAGGATTTAATTCCCTAAACTGAAACACTTATTCTTCCATTAGAAAATACCCCTTCATGGTGACAAAATTAGTGCACTGTTTTTCATATTGTCGTTATTGCACAATGATGACTATTATTCTCTGCATCTTAACTGTGACAACTACAGACACTGCCCTGTATTACTGTGCAAGAGACAAAGAGGGGATGTCAGTGTGAAACCAGACACAAACCACCCTGCAGGGGCTGCCAGTGCCTGCAGAGGATGATGGGTGATCATTATTAATAGTAAATATTATTATGATTATATATTGTTTAGTCTCAGTATGGACTCCAGGTTGGCCTTCAACTAACTGTGTAGACCAGATTGGCTTTGAAGTCACAGCAGTCCTCTTGCCTTAGCCTCCCAAGTGCTGGAATTACAAAATGATGGTGACTTGAAATTCCAAAATCACCTGACTTATGAAAATTCAGTTTCCTTTTGGATGATGCAAGATGTATTTGGTTTTCAAAAACATTCAAGTGAGAAAGCATGGACAGAATTAACTGAATAAACACACGCATATTAACTAAAGTTTAACAAATAAAATACCCTTATTCTCTTTGGAAGTGATTCTTCATAAGTCAACTATAGTAGATGTACTCCAGGGACTCCCTTAGGTCATATAATGTTAAGACAGAGAGGCAGCCCAGAAGCTGACAGGAAGCCTTCACTCCCGAGCTTCCTTCTCTGCACCTGTTCTGGGGCCCCGCCCGGTGTTCAGCGGATCCCCATCGCCCCCTGCTGGTAACGGGCGTTCCTGCATGAGGTTTGTGACTGGGCTCATACAGGGCTGTTCCTCCGTTGTCACAGAGTTAAGCTCAAGAGAGAACTGGTTCTTGGATGTATCTCTGGAGATGCTGACTCTGCTCTTCAGGGACGGATTATAAGATGTGCTTCCAACACTACTAATCCACCCCATCCACTGCAGCCCCCTCCCTTGGGGCTGGCAGATCCACGTCCCATAGTAACTACTGGTGATGGAGTAACCAGAGACTGAGCAAGTGAGGGACCGGGGCTGTGAGGGCTTCACCAGGTCAGGCCCTGATTCCTGCAACTGCGCCTGAGACAGGA